TTGGGGGGGATTGCGCTGCTTTCCCTGGGAGTGTTCAGGGTTTCACATAAAATGTTGTATATTCCAAAAAATAAAACACACACACTCAAATTATAGAACATATCCAAAGCTATGAAACCTGAGATTCCACTAAAAAGTGGATTATATTTTCTATTTATATTAGTTTTAGCTAGGTCTTTACCAATGACTATGAGGCCGTACAGTATATGTGTATGAGGATCCTGGCCTGCTGCTGGCGGGGTGGGTTACACATCTTATACCACTTAACCTTGGTGACTCTGCAAGGTAGACACTATTTTTTTAATAGTTGTGGTCTCGCCATATAGCCCAGGCTGGGCACAAGCTCCTGGGCCTGTCTCCTGCCTCAGCCTGTCAAGCAGCTGGGACTACAGGCTGGGGCCACCACACCCAGCTGGATCCTATGACTGTCCCCCTTTTAAAGTTAAGAGAGCTGAGGCCTGTTGAGTTTTGATGATTTACTCAGCCAAGATCACACAGCCAGGATTGTAACCCATGTCTGACTCATGAGCTCTTTTTTTTATTTTTTGTGGAGACAGGGTCTCACTATGTTGCCCAGGCTGATCTTGAACTCCTGGCCTCAAGCAGTCCTCCCGCCTCAGCTTCCCAGAGTGCTGAGATTATAGGTATGAGCCACCACGCCTGGCTGCAAGAGTTCTTAACCATTACACTGCACTGCCTTATTCAGAAACACACGCCTGGGCGGGTCCTGGTCAATATTTTAATACCGGCTGCACTTCCCACTAGCGACTTGGATTCAGAAAGACAGTTCACGTTTCTTACACTGAAACCTAAAACTGCTAGTGAGTGAAAATACTCATATTGGCCTATCAGTACCTGCTCCTCCCCTAGTAACTTTACTCGAAGTTTCCTTGCTTTCCGAGTGTGGAGTCAGCAGGGGAAGTGGGCAGATCCTGAAACATGGTGGCTTCAAGGCCAGGCAGCTGGATGGACCTCCTGCACCAGAGATGGGGCTCCCAGGCCCCACGCAGCAGCACCACTGTCTAGAGGCCCTGCGCTCCGTATGGCTCCTTCCAAGACTCCAAAGGACCACCCCACACGTGAACATCCAGACGTTTACACCTGGTTGTTTCACAGCTTACATTGTAGCAGCTCTTTCTATAGCAAAGGGACACACTCAAGTTAGTTCAAATAACAGGAAAGTTTATTATATGAACAGATATGGAAATGAGGAAAATGGGATTTTTCCACCATTAGCCAGGCCTCAAGGGAAGCCATGGCAGGGGTGGACTGGTGGGGGAGGGGACACCACCAGTTGCCTTAGGAAGAGCTAGAGGTGCAAAACTGCTGGTCACAGTGACAAGCAGGCATAGAACTCATGTTGGCCAGACACCACAGTCAGTATTTTGTGCATGAACTCGTTTAATCCTCTCAACAACCTATGAGGTAGGTGCTACTATCAATGTCCCCATTTTGTACAGAGGAGAACTGGGACGTGCGGAGGTCGAGTAACTGGTTCCAAACCAGCCGATGGTAAGTAGCAGCGCACACACTGGGTTCAGGTAGTTCGGCTCCTGTCTGTGCCCGTGACCACTACGCAGTGGTATGTTGTATACCCGAAACTGGTAGGGTGGGGCTTGAGGTCCGGGGGAGTGTGGGGACTGGAGTATCCTGCGGCCTCCAGCAGCAAGGGCTGGACTCCTGCTGGGGCGGCCTGTGTGGGGCCCTGATCCCCGCTGCGGCTGCTCCTCCTGCCACCTAACACATTCCTCGCGGGTCCCTCTGAGTCTCCGAGGGAACCTGGCGGTTTCAGCTAATTATCGTTGTGCCTCTTTGATAAGGTTTTTCTCAACAGGCCACCTCAGAGATTCGATTGGCCAACGATCTGCTGAGGTCACTGCGGCCCGGTGGTCAGAGCAGGGCTTGAGAGGCCCGGCAGCGCCTGCGGTGTACGGACTGCTCTCCACTGGAGAGACCCCAGGGGCCCGCCAGCCTCCTCCACGGCCTGGTACAAGTTCTCTTGTGACGTTAGCCCCGCCTGGGACGCAGCATTGTTAGCTGTCACCTTTAGGAGTGTTCTTTCCTTGGCTAGTGTCTTGTTCTTTGGGGGTCTGGTGCTTCTCTGAGATTATAGCTTCCTGCCAAGCGACTACACCTTCTTCCTGAAAAGCTACACTAGCCCCCTTGTCCTTCGCCCTCCACCCCCAACTCCTGCCCCAGTCCATCTTGGACAAAGGTTCCAGACTGGTTTTCCTTAAACACCACTTTTCCCTTCACTCCCGACTCAAAATCCTCTGACTATGTCACTCTGTCACCATGTCACTATGTCATGGCATCACCCATCCAGCCTGCCGGCTTCCTGTTTTCCCCATTCCTGAAAATTCCACACTAACCAGACCCGTTTCCCCCCTTGCCACACACACTCCTACAAATGTGCCGTGGCTTTTTCCTACCTCCCTGCTTTCATTTGCGTGGTTATGTGCTGGCCACGCTCCCCGCAAAAAATTGGGTCCCTTAGGTAGGGGTCGTTGCAAAGGATAAGAAAATAATAGAAAATGGAAAATAATGGAAATAAAAGAATACACAGAGACGAAGGTATAGTTTTATAGATTTGTAAAGATTATAGGCAAAGCGGGATACTGAGGGGGCCTTGGATCTCTCTGTCAATCACAAAAGGCCAAGAGTGAAGTTTTACATGGGCATTTATAGGTACAGTGATTGGTTGCCAGGGGTAACAGATTTACATAACAACAGGTAGTTCCTCTTAGATCAAAAGTTTTTCAAAAGGCTTCTTCAGATCTCTTAACTAATTCTGTCTACGTGAACAAATGGTTACAAAATCTTTCAAAGACTAACTTCTAAGTTCTAAGGTAAATTTATCACTTAACAGAAGGGTTAAACAGAGATATAGGGGCTCCATATTTTTTTTATCAAGTTATTGTGTATTGAGACAGGTAGTCAGGAGTTTAAGCAGGAACTGTCCCTTGGGATAATTGCTTGTAGCCACAGGTGTCTGTCTGTCGGGTGGGCATTCTTTGATCAGCTCTCATCCTGTGGCTCTTAGCAGACCTGCTTTGCTTTTCAAAGTAAGTCTGAACCTCAGGTGTGAGAATCGCAGCGCCATTGTGGGATACAGCAAGCTACTGATCTTTCAGAGATGCCCTCCTGAGGTGAAACAGCTTTTGATATGCAAACTAACAAGTTCACATATTCCTTCAGGGCAAAGCTCTGCAAAACTCCTGAGACATTTCTGCCTCCAATATAGTTATATTAATTTATGGAGCCACAGTTATGCTGACCTGGAATGTTCTCATCTTTCTCTCCCACCTGTCCAATCCCCACCTCCCCCACAAACCCTACCCTGACTCTCCCAGCTTCCTCGTGTCTCTCCTCTGAATTCCCAGAGCACTTAGCAGTTGGTGACTGCTGAACTTAATGCAGTGACACATTCTCTTATTATTCCATATGTGCGTGTCCTGGTTCCACAGCTAGATCACAACCTGTGGAGGGAGAGTGTGATTTTTTAAAAGATGGAATAACATGCTTGAGCTTACAATATGTCGGGCGCTGCGGCAGACACCTAGCATGTACCACATTTAATTCTGACAACAGTCCCAGGCCATAGGTCCATCACCCTCCTTTTAGAGGGGTGGTGCAGAGCTCAGAGGAGCTAAGTAACGGTCCTGGGTTACAGAGGTTTGGGGCATCAGGACCGGGACCTGAACTCAAGTCTGACCCCCGAGTCTTCATGCTTTACACAGCCATGTGGCACCTCCTTGGGACCACATTTTGTTCTCTGTGTCCCTCAGCATCCAGTGCAGTGCTGACGACCTCATCAAGAGCTCAGTAAGTACTAGTTAAAAGGCAACTGATGGCTCCCTTTAAATACGGAGGGTCACGAAGGGCCCTTATGCTTTCTATCGATTCATTCACGCAACCATTTAAAATTTTACTGACACCAGCTATGAGCCGGCACTGTTCTAGACATTGAGGACACAGAGCATTGCCCTTGCTCACCCAAAGAAGTGAGATGTATACACAAATAACTGATAGACAATCGTATTACGTATCCATCACTCCCTAAAAATGGCCACAAATCGACAAATTTACTGCCTTAAAACAACACATATTTATTGTCTCACAGCTTCTGCGGGTCAGAAGTTTGGGCACAGCTTAGCTGGGTCCTCTGCTGGGTCTCACAGACTGTAACTGAGGTGTTGGCTGGACTGGGTCCTCATCTGGATGCTCAACTAGAGAAGAATCTACTTCCACGTTCACTCAGGCCGTGGGCAGAATTTAGGTTCTTGCAGCCACAAGACTCAGCTTCCTGTTGGCCAGGCGCTGGGACTGCAGGCTGCTCTTGACTCCTGGAGGTTGCCTGCAGGTCCTTACCAAGGGGCCACTTGCTTCGTCAAGACAGCAAGGAGAGTCTCGAGAGTGAGTCTGCCAGCAAAGAGGAGTCCGACACAAGCAACACAATTACAGGGGACACCCATCACCTTTGCCATGTTCCTGTCATTAGAAACCAGTCACAGGTCCTACTCACATGCAAGAGGAGGGGACCTCACAGGGCATGAGTACCAAAGGCGAGGCTCACGGGGGCTGCCTTGGAATCCATCTGACACAATGATAAAATGGAAAAGTGCCAGGTGAGTGGTAGAGACAACAGGTGCTACAGGAGCTTGGGAGGAATATTCCTTCCAACACACCTGCTGAGCTCCCTGTGCTGCGGCGGCAGCACCACTGGGGAGCTCACGCCATCCAGGTGCCTGGGCACACCACTGTAATAAGAGATCGTGACAGACGGGCGCTGCCATCGGCTTGCAGGTCAAATGCTGGTCTTGCAAATGGCCCTGGAGGTCGTGGAGCCTGACCTCCGCAGTGGTGGCCTCAAGCGCCGTTCAGGAAGGGGCTGCGGCTACTGGCCGGAGTCACAGGGTCAGGGACCAGGTGACAGCTGTAATACGAGGAACTGGGGACATGTTCAGGAGACGGCAGGCCTGAAGATGCACTGGCTACACCTAATGGGGGCTGGACAGGTTGGAGGAAGGAGAGGGAGGAGGCCGAGCTGAGCCTGAAATGAGGTGGCCCAGGCGTGAACAGGTCAGAGCTGCTGGGGGTGGCTGGAGAAGTGATTCACTGACTCTTTTCTCCAGCTCGGGATACAGAACGTCTAATTTCTGTGGAGCACCCCTAGAAACAAAGAAGTCCTTCATGAATTCATATACGTGCATATATTCCATTGACTCTTGCACTGGCCATGCGGCATGAAGACGCTAAGGCTAATGGAGCCGCGGGTCTTCCTGACCTGGGTGAAGCCCTGCGCATGTCTGCGGTGGGGACTGGCGCGTCTGCGCACCGACCTGCTCAGGACGTCGCTGGCGTTCTAGGAGACAGAGAATGAGAACCACAGTCAGTTCTCAGGTTCCTGTCCCCCCAAAATCCCTTCCCAACTCACTCTCGGAGGCCACTCCGGGGTGCCACCCTGAGAACTGGGGGGATAGCACCCTCCCTCTGCTGCAGCAGCATTGTGTGGCCTGGGATAAGCCACCACCAGCATATGTCACTGCATGTCGCATGAGCCCCTCCCTCTCACACCTCCCAGAGGGGTGCAGCACGTAGGCTGTCTCGAACTGGGGGCGGATGGCAGCCTTTGGGTAAGGCCTCGGGCTACGCACCTGCAGTGTGCGGGCGTCTGGCTCCTTGGCTGTCCTTTCCAGGTCGGTGACCAGGCTGCTGAGCTGTGCTGCTGCCCTGGAGACCTCAAGGATTCTGACCACCTCTGCTGGCACGTCCTCCGACTGGTCCAGCCGCTGCTGAGGGAGGGCACCCAGCCGTCCCCTGGTTTGGTGCTGGCTCTCCAGCTCAGCCTCCAGCTTGTGGTTCCCGCGGTCTACCTGGAACTACAGAGAAAGGAGCCCTAAGACTCAGTGGCCGATGGCTCCCTCCTGGCCTGTCGCAGTCTGAGTGTGTGAGTGGGGTGCAGATTCCTCAGCCCTCTTCCCTCCACGCCGCTGCCTCTGCACATTGCAGGGGTTGGGAGGCAGCTGTGCTCCTTATAAAGGCAGGGACATCTCCTCTTCCTGCCTCACACTCCTGTGAACATCTATAGATGCCACGTCTTACCGCAGTGGGACACAAACACACACACACACACGTGCCACTCAGCCACGTCTTCTCACTGCCGCCTTTAATCCCCTTTAGATCATAAGGTAAGGAGAGATGTCACACTCGAGTGAGCGAAAGGAAAAGAAAGGTAGACTGTCACAGACAGAAACAGAGACCTGTGGTCCGTGTAGTAATTTCAGCTGATGAGACGCTGTCTCCTTTGACCCTTACTCCTCACCGAGAGCCAGCAAGAGCAGGCTCTACCGGGATTGGTTCTCATTTAACATCTAAGTCGCATGAAGGTCAGAGGGCTCAACCTGCCCCAGGTTGCTAGCTAGCAAAGCCTGAGGCCGAGACCAACACCTGGGTTTTCAGCCCCCAAGACCTTCCCCACCCCGCCCCCAGCAGGCTGGTCCAGGGAGGACAGCTGTGCCCAGCAGGAAGGAGGGGCCCCTGACGACACTCAAGGTAGTCCCTCCTGGAATCAGAGGAACCCACCTGCAGGGCCTGCAGTTTCTCCTCCTCCTGAGCCTTGGGCCCACAAAGCTCTGCCATGTCCTTTCTGAGCTTCCTGCCCCGGTGGCTGAGTCGCTCCTAAAGACACGGGCACACCTGCTTGTCAGACCGGGGCTGAGGGTGGCACCCACTGGAGGAGCCGATGGAACACAGTGGGGTTCTGAAACCCAGCATGAGGCCGGCGTGAAATTCTGCCGAAAAGTAGGTGCTCGTCAGGTGTCATGCTTGGCGTAAGGAACTTGAGATTTTATTTAGTGGATAATTATGAGGAAAACGTAATGAATAGATTTTTTAAGTCTTAGAACTACACAAAAATACCATTATTAGAACCGTTTCTACTTGACTTCATGGTGCTTTTCTCCCACCATATTAAAGTTACGTGACAATCTTCTGGCCCCTCTTACTACTTCCCATTAGCAAGCGAAGCCAGTCTGGAGAGAAAGGCTTTGAGGAGGAGATGGCCGACCAGGTCCTGCCCCTCCCTGGCCCTGGCGGGGTCGGACGGCAAGAGCCCTTGGGTGGGTGCAAAGCCACAGCCCAGGCCGGCAGGCACTCTGTTTCTCAATCTTAAGCCAGTATCCAGACAGGTCATTGTGTCCCCGAAGCTATGGATGGGATGAATGATTTGAATTTCTAAAAAAAATTTGCTTTCAGGTTTTTGATAAACTGTGAGAGGAGCAAAAATAAACAAAGGTAGTCCTGGTATCAGCACAGGCCTGTAATGAGCCAAAGTGGAAGAAAGGGGAGGATGTCAGCCAAAGAGTCTGGAAACATCCTTCGTGTGATCGATTGTTAGATGAGTTGAAAATGCACTTACCCTACCCGGCAACAAAAGCATCCAAAGCCACAGTAATAACAACAGCACTGGTGCAGGAAGAAATAGAAAGTGAAAGAGGAGAGAGCTCGGAGACAGACACGTGGCTATGAAAGAATTTTAAAAGAACGCGTAGTGCACAAATCAGGGGGAGAAGGGGCAGAATCTGTAGAAGACGGACATGAGAAAACCGGCTTATGATAAAAGGGAAATAAAACCGATCTCTACCTAGAACCATATGTGAAGGGGACTCCTGGAGGATTAAAGACCTGTGTGAAAGGCACAATTATAAAATCAATAGCAAATAATGTTAGAGAATAGATTTGTGACCTGGGCGTAGAGAAAGATGTCCTAAACAAGCCCCCCAGAGCACAAACCACGAGGGAAAATTTAAATTTGATCACATCAAAGTTAAGTATTTCTGTTCAATGACAGCACCACGGACGAAATTAACAGAGAAATGACAGATTAGGAGGTGATATCTTTAAGGTCTACAACCAACAAAGGAGTTATATGTGGAATAGAGACAGGTAAGCCTGCACGTCAACAAGAAGGCAGGAACCCAACAGAAAAATCCTCAAAGAGCGGGGACAGTTAATTCACAGCAGAGAGAATGCAGCAGGCTGCACAATGCATGCGGACAGGTGCCCAAGCTCTTCAGTGATTAGAGAAATGGAAATTAACCCAACAATAAAGTTGTTTCACACCCGTCGGAGTCATAAAAGTGAGACAGCTGGATAATGCCCGGCGGGGCAGACTCATGGGGCCCCCAGGTCCCCCGGCTGGCTGGGCGATGTGCGCTGGCACCGTCGTTCTGGAGGGTCCCCGCCACCAAAGTGTGCTTTCTTCTGTGATCCGGCGGCCCCGTTTCTGGGTCAGTATCCTAGAGAATTCTTCACTTGGGCCCTAAGAGGACGTGAGCACTGCAGCATCTTTGTGGCCTCAGAGTTGGAGTCATGTGAGGCCCGTTCCTGGGGAACGGTTGAGTAAAATGTGGCAGACCCCTCTGTGGGACACGACAGAGCTGTCAGAAGTCAGGGACTGTTGGACACAAAACATGAGTCGATCTTACAGATATGATGTGGAGTGGAAAAGCAAGAAATAGAATGAGGCCGATCATAGCACACTGTTTTGTAAATTAAATATTCAAACGCACTACCCGAAGGATGGACATATTTGAAACACAGACCTCGGTAGGGGGGGAACCAAGGGCAACACACCTAACCTAATCATCTGTACCACGGGAAGGGCGGCGGGAGGAGGGGGGAGGAGGGAGAAGGGGACGGGTATTTGTATACACAAGGAGTGCAATGCGCACTACCCGAAGGATGGACATATTTGAAACACGGACTTCGGTGGGGGGGGGACCAAGGGCAACACACGTAACCTAAACATATGTACACCCATAATTTGCTGAAATAAAAAATAATAATAATAAATAAATAAATATTCAAACACAAAAAGCAATATGTGTTTTGCCAAATCTACAAATAAAAAGACAGCAAATATTCACATGGCTGTCCACGGGAGCGGTGGGGGAGGACTGGTGTGGAAATGGAAAATAAATAACACAAGGAAAGGATTTGTGCACTAAAGATAAGGATGCGCTGTTAACTGGAGAGTGTGTTTCATTAACCAAATCCTTCTTACCTCAGGTCAAAAACAATTTTTTTAGGAGATTTTGGAGCTGTATAGGTAGAAGGGATGGAGAAGACGGCCTGAGATTCTGCTGGTGGAATTGAGGTCCCCGGACGCAGGTCAGCGAGGGTGTTCAGCAAACAGAGCTTCAGTCAGCAGAGGAGACAGTGATGTCACCGCAAAGTGACTAAAAATGTGCCACGTCACTGGGCGTTACCTGCAGGCGCTTCCCAGCAGAGAGGGGGTAGAAACCTCATGGAAGGAGTGGGAGGCAATAAACGGCCAACATGAACGTCACTCACGGGTCTCGCGGAAGAACTGGCAAGCTGGGTCGGCATGGCATCGCTTGCGTGAGCGCTGAAGTCCAGGCCGGGAAGGCACAAGCAACAGCCTTCACCCCTTCCGTCCACTCTCTCTCCGTCCTCACGACTGAGCAGTCTGTCCTTGCTGTCTTCACGTCCGGACAGCCCGTCATTCCTTGGTTCTCGGCCTTGTTTCTCATCTCTCCTTTGAAACATCTCTCTCCGCGGTCACCTGCGATCTCCAGCCATGAAATCCAGAAGGGCCCCATCCTCGGGTCCCTCCTGGACCCGTGCTACCCACTCCTGCTTCTCCGCTGCTTCATTTTTCCTCCAGAAAGGAGCCTTCCCAGAGCTGGGCTCCTCAACCCTTTCTGTCTCTGACTACACCCTTAGCTTTCCATTCTGGAGGCTTCAGATCTCATCATAATCCCCAAACCGGATCTTTTTCCTACACATCTCATGTTTCCAACCGAGAGCTAAGTACCTCCTGCTGCCCCGCCAGCCGCTGGAAAGTAGCGTGGAGGAATCACTCTTGCTGTCCCTTTCCCACCCTCTTCTGCAGGGCACTCCTCTTGACCGCCACACGTCTGTCCTGGGGCCTGCCACTGTGCCTGCCATTCAGCTCGAAATCGGTCATCTTTCACCCTTATCTGTGTCACTCCTCCCTCCACAGGCAAAGATGAGCCCGGACTTGTTCACGCAAGGCTCCCGTGGCCCAACCCCAGGTTACACTTCCAGTGTCCTCTGGCCCCTCCGTACTCTCTCTGCCAGCACACAGGGCTGCTTTTGGTTGCCTGGACATGCCCCTGCCGCCGCCCCTCCCCATGGCTTAGGTTTTGCTTCCCCAGCCAGGAACGCTCTTGTTCTGCCGGTCAAAGTCAGCTTGCTAAGGTCCAGTTCAAAAGCCACAGTCCTGTGCTGGGGCTTGGAGTCTCCACGACATGTACATATGAAGGAGCAGAAGAGTGATCTGTGTGGCCTTTTAAATGATTGAGTGAAGATGGAAATGGATTAAAAATAATAAATGACTTCTCTACCAAAGCAGTAGAAGATTCTTCATAACACCTTCCAGTAGCTGAATTCAGTTTTGGGAAGGGGCAGAACAAGTTAAATACAGAAAACTAAAGAAAAGAAAACCTCATTTTGGAACTGTCTTTCTCCTTGACTATGCTTATCCCCTATCTTTCTACTTGTTTTACCTTTGCTCTGAATTTGTAAATAAAGACCAAAGAAATACAGTATACATTTAGGAGCTTTATACCAAGAAACATGCCTTGAAAGCTGCTATTCCCTGGAGGGAAAAGTATATCAAGTTCCTGTCTTTTTTTTTTTTTTCTTTTTTAGAGAAGATTTCTAATGTCCTTAAATTTTGAAAGTCAAGACAAATACATATCTGCACGCTATTTTTAGCAGTTGTGTGAGTAAGAATAATGAGATTTGTATTTTAAGGGCTTTGTCATGTGGATGTTTTGCCACTGGAGTTGACTCCTCAGAATACCTTTTAGAGGGCTTTAATATTATATTTTTCATCTGTCACCTTGATGACATTACTTGCCCACACTTGAGCCCACCTGTCTTTCTAGCTATGCCCTGTTATGAACAGTGATTGTGCTCACTGTGCAAATGTCCATGTATCACTTAATTAAGCAACATCATAGGGCTGTAACTCAAGGAAGTTGAATGAGGTGAACATAGACATAGCTCTTTCCCCTTTCCAACCTTTTTAAAATGTAACAAATATTTTTATGTTCCCCTTCCCCTTTCCCTCTTCCCCCTTCCCCCTTTTGGAAACATGTCAGGAACTAGGTAGTTGAAGATGAGCAATTGAGGGGACTAAGAGAGTGAGGCACACAGAGCCTGGCTGCTTTGTGCTTCATCATAAGTCATGCTGCTGACGAGGTTATTTTAAGCACCCTTTTAACAAGAAAACCTTGTGGGCGATCCAGCTGGCAGATTCAAGGAGTTCAGGAAACAGGACCACAGAGGTTATATTCTGGGATCCTGGCCATGAGGTTGGATGCCTCACCTTGCTGAAAAAGAGACACTAGACCTAAATGGCGCAGCATGATTTTGTTCCTGCTTGGCTAAACTTCTTCACACCACAGCCAGCTAAGCCACCTACTGCAACCTTTGAGAAACACGGAGAGCACCTACCCCGAGGAGAAGGTAGATTTGGAGTAAGCCGTCGTCGACATAATTTCTCTGATGGCTTTTTTAACAATGGACCCCTATGAACTACAGGAGATTCCTGGCCCCAGCCCTCCCTGTTCCGCCATGATTCTGTGGACTCTTGGTGTCTCTAAGGGAGCATATGCTGGAATCACAGGGAACCCATCTGGTTGGCGTGGCTCTTCCCGAGGTCCCGATGTTATGAGCCAGCGTAGTGGAGGTGGCACAGGGAACCATTGCCATTGGAATGGCAGCTTCCACTCCCGGAAAGGCTGTTCCTTTCAGGAAAGGCCACCTACAGAGATTAGGGAAGAAAAGAAAGAAGACAAGGTGGAAAAGTTGCAGTTTGGAAGAAGACTTTCCTTCTTTGAATCCAGAAGCTGGCAAACAGAATCAGCCATGTAGACCTTTTGGGACCCCTTCTAGAGTGTGGGAAAACCCACCTAGTGCCAAGCAACCCTCCAAAATGCTAGTTATCAAAAAAGTATCCAAAGAGGATCCTGCTGCTGCCTTCTCTGCTGCATTCACCTCACCAGGATCTCACCATGCGAATGGGAACAAATCATCATCCATAGTTCCAAGTGTCTATAAGAACATGGTTCCTAAGCCTGCACCACCTCCTTCTAAGCCCAATGCATGGAAAGCTAACAGAATGGAACCACAAATTGGGATCCCTTTCCTCTAACCAGTAGTGTGCTTTTACCAGTCCAATCTCTGTTACCAGACCAGTGGTACCGGTTGATGGTGCAGTTCTGAGTTCTCCTAAAGAGAGTCCCTCCAGCACCACCCCTCCAATTGAGATCAGCTCCTCTGGTCTGACCAAGTTGACCCGCCGAACCACTGACAGGCAAAGTGAGTTCCTGAAGACCCTGAAGGATGACCGGAATGGAGAATTCTCAGAAAACAGAGACTGTGACAAGCTGGAGGATTTGGAGGATGACAGCACTCCTGAACCAAAGGAAAACGGAGAGGAAGGCTGTCATCAGAATGGTCTTGCTCTCCCCGTCGTGGAAGAAGGGGAGGTTCTCTCACACTCTTTGGAAGCAGAGCACAGGTTACTGAAAGCAATGGGGTGGCAGGAATATCCAGAAAATGATGAGAATTGCCTTCCCCTCACAGAGGATGAGCTCAAAGAATTCCACATGAAGACAGAGCAGCTGAGAAGAAATGGCTTTGGAAAGAACGGCTTCTCGCAGAGCCGCAATTCCAGCCTGTTCTCCCCTTGGAGAAGCATTTGTAAAGCAGAGTTTGAGGACTCAGACATGGAAACCAGTAGCAGTGAAACATCAGATGACGATGCCTGGAAGGAGGCATATAAATGCTCACAGTTAAATCTGACCCAGTAAACTCTGTTTAGGGAGTATACAAAAGAAATTGTTCTTTTCTTTTTCTTATGTTGTTGAATACTTCATGAAGAAGGGAAATAATCATATCCCAAAGAGAGAGCGATTGGCTTGTTTAGTTTTTGTTGTTCTTCCCTGTTATCTGCTTAATAGAGAAGTTTGTGTGGTGGGAAAGATTTTTAAAATACACGCACACACACACACATACACAGTACACACAGTACACACAGGTGGGAGCTGGCAGTGCCGAGAGGAGACACTGGTCTGCAGCAACAGCTTCTACTACCAGCCCTCGGGGCACTCACCCCTGTGCTCAAGCAATCATTGTCAAGGACAAAGTGACTATTGAAGTTATAATTGCATTAAATTAA